TTATGATTTTCCTATTTGTGCTATACTGTTAATCAATTCTTTTATGGCAATTGTCATGCACTTCGTGTGTTTGTTGTTGATTTGCGTATGGTTGTTGATTTTGAGCATTGTAGCTCGAGGTGTCCCATGGGGACTAGTGTTTGGATTGGGTCACGCATCGCAGTGGCATTATATTGGGATATGCGTCTTTGTGTTTATTTCATGTGTTTTATTTTCTCCTTGTGTGATGGATTGATGGCATTGTGATTTGTGGTGGTATCTGTTAAGCTTGTGGGATGGTTCTCTCATTTGGTTCTTTATCCATCATTGGATACATTCGAGTTGTTGCTTGGTTGGTGTACGGATTGCATCGCACGTGAATAGGTGGCATTTAGTGTGGCTGGTCGGTCGAATAGCTTCCACGGAGTGAGTGGTTATGAGTTTCTACATGGTTCTTACATCATTAATAGTTTTGTGAAGGTTTGAAACAAGGCTATATTTGTTATGAGGTATATTAATAGTACCAGGTTTGGTAATTGGCAACTGTTATGATCTGAGATATTGTTTTGAACATATGAGCGATTGGTTACGTCATGTGGTTATATATCGAGAATGTATTTATGATTTTCTACAACTTGTTGAGATTGATATAATATGTATATGCGAGAATCAGATTATGTCAGGAATTTCGACTGTTCGAATTTGGGTCTATGGTTGATATATTAAAGTTGAAGAACGAATCTTCAGTTAGGTTGTGTTGATGGGATTATATTGGTTGAGATGATATGGGATCACTCATGGGTATGTGTATGGAAAGTTTATACAGTGATTTGATGGCTTTGGAACGACTCTTGGCAAGTTTGAGGGCGAACGTATGTATAAGTGGGGGAGAATGTAACGACCCGACCGGTCGTTTTGAGCTTTAGCACTTCATTCAGTAGTTTGAGACTTCGATTAGTTTAATATGATGTATTATAACTTGCGTGCACCGATGGTTTTGATTTTTGAGTAGTTCGGGATTGAATTGGAAGAATGATTCTCATTTTAGAAGCTTTAAGTTGGAAGAGTTAACCAAGTTTGACTTTTATGTATATAATCTTGGATCGGAGTTTTGACGGCTCTGTTAGGTTCGGAGAGTGATTTTGGACTTAAGCGCATGCCCGAAATTGAATTTGAAGGCTTCTAGGTTGATTTGGCTTGTTTTACCGAAAGTTGGCAAATGAAGGTTTAGAAATATCCTAAGTTTGACCATGGTTTGACTTTTGGGTAAACAGACTCGTAATCGGGGTTTGATTGTTCTGATCGGTTTATATGATTAATTTGGACTTGTATATATGTTCGGATTTGGTTTCGAGATTCCTAGAAGAATTCGACACTATTTGTCGAAAGTTGGCAATTTGAAGAACTTAAGAGTTCATAAGTTTGACCAAGAGTTGACCTTGATGTTATTGGACTTCAATTGGTATTCCGAGATTTTGGATATGTATATATAGTTTAATTGAACTTGTTTTCGAAGTTTGGAGGTAATTCCAAGTGTCTAAGTGTGATTCTGACACTCTTTTGAAAGAATGAAGATTTAACAAATTAAAAGAATTTTTATTCGGTTTAAGCCTTGATTCTTTGTTGTGATGTTCCCGGGGGTGTTTTTAGGCTTTGGATAAGTTTGGATAATGTATTGTACTTGTTGGTATGATTGGATGGGGTCCCGAGGGGTTCGAGTGTATTTTGGATTATTGGTTGAGAAACTAGTTAAGGATTTGGAGTTTGACTATGGTCAAGATGACCTCTTTTCGGTATTTTGAGTGTGCAAGCAGGTTCATAGCATATGTTATGATTGAAATGCATATATAGTTTGTGTCCGGAAGGTTCCGAATGAGTATTTGGTGCGAAATTGAAGATTTTCTTCTTGTTTTATTTTTTATTTTCCGGTGTAAATAACCACGAAAACGTTATTTATTTCCTTGAAATTTTCAGACTTCCTTTAAAACTTCAAAATATTATCTCTCTCTCATTTTAATGCCAAATTGGGTGATTCAAGAGTTTATCGTGGGCGTAATCTCACAAGGATCATGTTGGACTTATCAATTGTGAGTACCGGGATCATATAGGATGTGATTCGGGCTTGGACAACTGCTGCATTTTTACTTATTTCGGAATTTAGTTATTTTTTCACAAGGTTTTGGGCGATTTTGGAGGAGATTTTCACCATTTGGATTGGGGTAAGTATTTTTGACTCGAATTTAATTTTATTTCATAATTCCAACCTCGATTTTAGTGTTTGATTAATAATTTGAATTGAAGAAATTGTGAGATTGTGGCACTTTAAAACATAAAATGATGATTTGAAGGCCGATTTGAGGTCTTAATTGCATGGTTTTGGTATAGTTGGAGTCGTATCGGAATGGGTATTCGAATTTTTTGTGTTTTATCGGGTTCCGAGGTGCGGGCCCAGGGTTAACTCTTTGGGTTGACTCTTTGGTTTTCATTAAAGATCGAAACTTTATTATTCGGAATTATTTTCTATGACTTTTATGATATTAAGTTATTTTGGCTAGATTTGAGCTATCCGAAGGTTGTTTCACACAAGAAGGTCTTTTTAGAGTACCGGTTTAGCTTATTTGAGGTAAGTATCTTGCCTAACTTTGTGGAGGGAGGGGGGTACTACCCCTTAGGATTTGGGTTAATTGTGTTATTTGAACTATGTGAAAGACGTGTACACGAGATGACGAGTGTGTACACGAGCTTATAAGTGGTATTTTGACCAGTCTAGACTCTTAGGCTCTTTCATGCATTTAATTGACATTGTCATATCATGTTATATCTTCCATTGTTAAATTACTTTTATATTTTTTACTTGACGTTGTTAACACATGTTCTATCTTTTGTTGCCAAATTTGCTCTTATGCCGTAATTGATATTATTACCTCTTTTATAGTCATGTTACCTCTTTTTGTTGCGTTATTCTTATTGGAGTTGTTATTACATGATGCCTTGTCGCGTTGAGTCATTCTCATGCATTTAGATGTAGTTATCATTTCATACTATATCTTTCATGGTTAAGCTTATGTTATACATTTGAATTGGAAATTTGTTATTTCATGAAAAAACCTTCATTTTGAGTTATTGAGCTTGAAGTCGTGAAAAACTATTAACACATTGAGGTTGAAGTTGTTGATTACTGAGATATCTTTTCTTGTTGAATATTTCTCATTCATTTTGTTAATTTGAGATTTCTTGTGCACATTGTGGTTGAGCCGTGGATTATATGTTGTGGTAACATTTTGTATTGTGAATTTGGCAAGTTGTGGTATATGGGCACATGTGGTACGAGTTGTTACTGTATTGTGATATTGATACGCATGCGGTGATATAAGGATATGGGGTTAATGTGCATGCGACGGTATAAGGTGGGATTTATCTGTGTGTTGCTAATAAGGGAATTACTTGAAGCCATGCAGTGACATAAAGAAGCTAAAGCGCGTGTAGATATTTCGGAAAAATATTTTCAAAAATATCTAAATATAAGGTTCACACGACGATATAAGGGAAGATTGTGATTATGACATATGAAATGTGATTATGAGGCTGTACCTCGGTTGTGATTCTCATTGTACACTCTATGTTGGAACGGTTATTGTTTTTCTTCCTTAAAGCATTTCACTTATATTTGGTTATTTGTTGTTATTATTGTGTTGGGAATAATTGTGACTTCTTGTGCGAGTCATGCATTTTATATAATTTACTGTGTTATTTTAATGTGTTAATTTGTGCCTCCGTAATTACTTGGTGAATTGATTAGCAAGAAGAACTTACTTGATTGGAGTCATTACCTCATATTCTATTTAGTTGTTGGTGACATAACGGATTTTAAATAAAAGAATTATTAACATATTTTATTTTATGTGACTCTTAAGATAAAACTCGTCATCTCACTTGGTACTTTACTATTTTTAAATGGTTATTATATTTTACTTAATTGATTCTAAAATTAAACTCATTACCCTATTTGATGTTTTACTTTACTAAAAATTGTTATCACGCTTTACTTTAACTAATTTCATATTTAATTTGTTAACTTATCTGATGCTTTACTTTATTTAAAGATATTATTTTACTTTATCTTATTAATTTCTAAACTAAGCTCATCTGATACCCTATTTTGTATAATTTGTACTTTACTTTACGCTTTACTCTATTGATACTCTATTTCTAAAATAAACTCATTATATTATTTGACGCTTTACTTTATTCAAGATTGCTATTATGCCTTAGTTTTGTGCATCATGTGTTGGAAAGACTTGATTACTCGAATTGTCATTTGTTTTCTCTGATTGATTTCATTCATATTTTGACTGTGTTCTGATTACCTTGTCGTTTTAGCACCTGTTTATTTCTTGTTGCCATCTGATGCTTTCATTATTCCATTGTTAGCCTTATATTGATGTTTCTTTCCACTGTTAGCTTAAGATTTATATGCTTACACAGATTATTGTCTAATGGATGTCTTGACTTACCTCGTCACTACTCCGCTGAAGTTAATCTTGATACTTACTGGGTACCACTGTAGTGTATTCATGTTACACTTTTGTACATTTTTGTGTAGATCCAAGTTCATCGGATCGTGTTGGTTTTGAGAGTTGTGTCTGCGCGGCTGAAAATTTCAAGATATATCTGCTTGACACTCGCTGGCCTCGGAGTCACCTCCTGATATTATCTTTACTACTGTTTATCTTCATTTCAAAGCAATATTGTACTTAGAGATTCTAGTGTATTTCAATAGAGCTTATGACTATGTACTACCGTTTCTAGGGATTGTATAACTATTGTTCAGTATTAATTACGTTATTTCATTTATCAGTATAATTTTTATATAGTTGAGTTGGTTATTTCTATTAGATTTCATGTATTAGGCTTACCTAGTCTCTAAGGTAAGGTGCCATCACAATTTCGAAGGCGGAATTTAGGTCGTCATTTGATATTTCTATGGAACCAACAACAGAAACATAGAGAGTAGTAGATGCTGTACATCAAGCACACAACATATAATTCGTTTCGAAATCAAAATGAGTCAACCAAATTCAAACTGTACATTGATAAATAAAAAGACTAAGAAAATCTAAGCATAGTAGATGCTGAGGAATAAGCTAAGGTTCGAACTTTAAAACGTCATGAAATCCACATCCATTCTATTTGTGGATACAGCTACATCATATGGCAAGACTGTCACAGCTATATCGGTGTGCAGATTCAACATTAGACTGAGGCCAGATTATCTCATAGAGACACTGCATGCAATCACAAAAGGTTGTACCATTATTAGTCGAAACACAAAGAAAGCTTTGATTGTTCCCCCTTAAAGATCTGAACATGAAAATAAACTAACGAAGAAAGAATCTTTATAAAAGTTATAGTCTGTGAAGTAGAATTAACAAAATACATTTTGAGATAATGGAGAAGAAGCCGAATCGACGTACTCCCTCAAGATGAGTTTAAGAGAAAAAAGAATCTAGAATAAGTTTGAGAAGGCGTGGAACTAACACAAAAGTAGATTCAAATTCAAAAAGAAAAGGAGAAGAAAACAGATCAAGTGAATACCATAAGATCTTTGAGATTAGAGTTTGTGTGAGAGTCCAGAGTAATAGAATGAAGTACAGAAGCAGAATTAATAGAAAGAGTAATTAGTAAGAGGATGAGAAGTCCCGGGAAGAAGATTATTAAGAGGAAAAAAAAAATACTTGGCATAAGTTCTTATAAATTAGAGTTTCCACCGAAAGAAACCCAGAATAGCAGAATTCACATTAAAAGTAAAAGAGAAGAGGAAGCAGATCAGAAAGATGAAAAAGAAGACGGTATGGGACAACAGATGAACTTATCATAATTAAAATTATTTATTCAAATCATATACAGTCTTTCTTTACCCATGGTCTATGTTACTCCAATCCAATGAATACATATAAAGTTTTTATTTTCATGCACATTAGTTGCATACCCGAGGGTAATTATTATATGCATTCTAGCCTCAATTTAGCACTTAACTATATTCAATTAATGTGGTATAGTGTGAACACCAAATATGAGTAAATTTTTTTTGTAATAGCACTTAACCTAAGATAATTCATATATTATAAAAAGGAAGTTGTTGGCCATTGTTATCTGCTTTCGGTGCCCGCAAAACCTCATGAGATATGCGTGAAAAAGAAACCAAACAAATGATGGAAACTTAGAAAAGAGAAGATAAACAAGTGTATATGTATGTATTTTTCACTCACATCCATATGATTGTGATTATACATGATATCTGGGCCGTAGGCAGAAGCAATAGCAACTTTTTAGTAAGCACTACCAGGGAAATCATCAGATTGGAAAAGAAGAAGAAAAACCACGCACACAGTAAAAGTCTCATAATTTTAAAAGTAACCTCAATCTCCGTAGGCATGAACCACAGACAGTGGCGAGCTAGAACATTCAGTAAGGAGATTCAAAATTTAAAGAAGTAAACACACAAAGAAGCCACAAGGATTCAACATTTATGTACATAAAGAAATTACTTTTACCTAAGTTTCCAGCAAAGGAGGGTGAGGGGATACAGTAACCACAAGAACTTCATTTCCAATGCTTTTCTGCTCTTCTTGAATTTCCTCTGCAGAAGTAACAGCAGCTTGGCTGCAGTAATGCAAGTCAATCAATTTTAATGTGGGAATATCTCCAATCACTCTAGGAATCTCCTCCAATTGAGAGCAAAACATTAGGACTAGATACTCTAGAACTGGAAGACTATCACTGGTTGCCTGCCAGTGCACCAATCTCGTCTGGTGAATGTGTAGCAACTTGAGTTTCTTGAAACCCCCTTCATCTAGATTCCAATTGCTCCCTTCAAAACCATAAAATTCTAGTTTTAGTACCTCAAGGTTGGGTAAGCTGCTAAGCATTGGCATATCTGTCCACTCTAGATGTGTCGCTACAAGTGTCAAACTCTTGAGGTTTTCTGGGAACACGTACCACAGCTGAGCAGGTCGCCTTATAAAAAATAGTGGATGCGACGAAACCTCTAGTTGAATGCTTAGCTTCTGGAGATCAACTAGACATATGAGACTACCAATAAAATCATTCCATCCATTAGGATGTATATCTAAATTGATAATAACATCCAATTCCCTTACGTTCGGGACAGCCATACAAATTTCCTTCCAGTTGGAAGAAGCTTCGTTTAGTGAAAGTTTCTTGAACTTTTCTAAACCCAAAATATGTTGTGCCTTTGGAGGAGCAGGCACGGGCATACTCATTCCCCCAGACTGGAAATATTTCAAACTTGACATCTTCCAAATTTCTACTGGCCAGGATAATTGATTTTCAGTTGGCTCAACAATCAATGTCTGTAGATTCCACAGATTAGAAATTGATGTTGGGACATCGCCACCGGTGAGAAAAGCAAGATATCTTAAATGTACTAATTGTGTTATCTCAGTGGGAAAACGTCGAAAGAGAATCATTAGTACATCCAATACCCTTAGCAGCTGAAAACGAGTATCCACTATTTTGTAGTATTCAAATTCGAGCATAGAAGTACACGGTTCACAGATGCACAAGATGGTACGAACTGAATCCAGATTACCTTCCTGTAGGCCGAGATTCTGGTTTCGTACAGCATCTTCATACAATAATAGTCGATGTTCACTCTCCACGCCTTCTGAGGACACTTCGTAACATTCATTTATGACATGAAAAAACTTCTCGGTTTTTCCTTTTCTCAAGCATAATTGTCGAATGAGGTCGTGAATCCTGCAACTTCTTATTTTTCCGCTTACCCATCCTCGACTGTTGACCATAATCAAACTTCTGCTAACTAGATCCTCTAGACACTCTTCTGCTACCTCTTCCGGCTTTTTATGGCAAATTGTCTTCAGAAAACCCTCAGCTACCCAAATTCTAATCAACGTATCTGTAGGAATTTCTGCATCTTCAAGGAAAAACCCCATATAAAGAAAGCAAGCTTTCAAGCTACAAGGCAAGTAGTTGTAACTCAGAGCTAATATTGCTAAACACTGCTGGGAGGTTGAACCTATGTGGGAATTCACATTATCAGCAATTTGTTGCCAATCATCATATGTCCTATTGATCTTCGACAGAAGCCCAGCGATGACAACAACTGAGAGAGCTAGCCCTTGACATTGTTTCGCTATCTGCTTTCCTACTTCCTCAAGCTGAGGGGGACAATCTTCATTTCCAAAAACCTTAAGAGATAGTAATTTCCAACTATCTTCAAGACTAAGAAAAGGCATGTGATGAGGAGGGAAATCATTGCCAGCACAATTAGCTACTTCGAGGAGCCTAGTAGTTATCATTATGCGACTTCCATTTTCATCATCGGGAAATGATCTTCTTACTTGGTCCCAAGCCTCTATAGTCCACATATCGTCCAAAACTATCAAATACCTCTTCCTTTTCAATTCTCTATGCACTTGGTCCAATAATTCATCTTCACTCATATCGCGGTACATTGCCTTCCCACCTGGAGTACCGAAGCTTAGGACATCCAAAAGCATTTCTTTTGCATCACATGCTTGAGAAACAGTAACCCATGAAGAAATATCAAAGCGATGGTATACTGATGGATGATTAAATAAACTTCTAGCAAGAGTCGACTTACCGATACCGCCCATACCAACAATTGAAACAACATTCAGCGCTGGTGTTTGTCCAAAGAGCTGATCTCTTATGTTGTTGAAGACATCCTCCATCCCAACAAGAGTATTTTCCTCATCCAAGACACGCCCAGATGAGCGGGGAGGTAAATAAGTTGTTGCTGGCACATCTTTGATACGTTTGTGGACATTCTTGAACTTCATCACATCTCTTTGTATGGAATCCATTGCTTCTATTATTTCCTGCAACTCGTCATAAAGCTTATGACGGGCGTTGTTCTGGTCGTGATCAGTATCAGCCACATGGATTCTTCTTAGGCAGCCATCAATTGTATCTTCTGCTTTATACCCTGCATCTCTGATGTTCTTTTCCAAGATTTTCAATGCTTCTTGATCATTGATCCAATTTCCCGTATTCTCAAGGAAATCTTGTAGGAAAGAAAGTGTTCCATAAAGTGAATCAATGGATCCCCTACTTTCAGATATCAAACTTGGATTGAATTGCAATACTTGCTCTATAGTTGTCAAGATGGAAGTTATAACAGCATAAGCCATCTCTCTCTCTTGATCTGTTTGAGGTTTCTCGAGTTGAAGAACCAAGAAAGTAGTACGAATCCAGCAAAAGGAACTCCGGAAATGAATGAGTGCTTCAAATCAGTCTTTTCCGTGAGAATTTTCAATTGGTTTTTGGGGGCCAGGCCGGCAAAGGGAGTAGGTATGAGTTTGAGAAAGTTTGTTTTTATCTGCCACAGAAGATACAAAAGCATCACAAGTAGTCAAATACACATTGCCTTTTCAGAAGCACAAGAGCGCAGATTAAGGCTCTTTAATTAAGCTCATTAAAAAACCTTGTACAACCATGTGAGAGCTCATTTTTCTAGGCCATAAATCTTGATTTGATTATTGATTTCTATATTGCATATAAATGTTTAATCTGTTAAGCACTGAACTGGAACAAAGTAACTCAAGAAAGATTCTTGATTTTCTATTATACTTATCTGTCACTCCTTGGAGCTAGCTTGTGCAAGAGCTAGCTTGTAATTGCAAAATTAATCTAATGTTACAGTACTCATAAGCGATGTAGCAAAAATACCAATTCACACACACTCTTGCAAGAAATTCACTCAATTCTTCACTCACACATACATACACACACACTGCACAATAGGAGTACACTGAAGCTCGCATTCATAACTTTCTACCTCAATCACCATCTTTTCCGTTGAAATACACCACTAGCACTTCCTTCCAAAGAAAGAACATTTTCTTCACTGTAAACAGACTTAATAAAGAATCTCCATTTACCCATTTTCACAAACACCATATCTCCACTATTTTGCGGCGGTGCTGTTGCCTATTCAGTTTCTAATCGAGGTCCCGGTTTGAGTTCAAACCCCTGTTTTCCAGTTTTGGTCGAGTTTCTAATTTTTCGTGGTTCTTCTATTTTCTCCGTTCGATTCGCTCGGAGGTTCTTGTTTCATTTGTGTTTGTGATATACACTGTGATATTAGCTCACGTCATTCTTCGATAAAATTGTAAATGCATTTTTATGTGCTTGTTTTTGTGACTCAATGAATAAAGAGGTATACACTGTCACGAGATCCTTTTAGAGCATAATATAGTGCTGAAACAAGTTTACAAAGGTGCATATTTTTGGAGATTTGGGTTTAGGAAAAAAAAAAAGGAGTGCTTTTAGATGGATTTGAGAGTTGTTGAGATTAATTTCTTATTTTATGGATTTGTTTTAAAATTTAAATATAGTTACGAATAGTAAAATTGGCTGAAAGTACAACAGTATATATGTTTAATGTGTCGCGTAAATACTATACTATCATACTATCGTAGTGGCACGACTTCGAATTATCAGGACTGAGATTTTCCTTTTTAAATTCTTTTTATTGTACATAAGAAGGGTTCATAGCCAACTAACTGAACTATTATGATTTATGAGACAATCGAATTGGAAACCATTTAGTTAAACCGAAATAACAAAATTTCTATAGGTATCTATTTTGGTAGTGGTACATAAAAAGAGGATTTTCCGTTTTTCTAAGGTACATTTCTTTGGAACCAATGCCAAAAATAAAAGTCGGTTATTGAGATGATATATTATTATTTAATAGTAGTTAGTTATGATAGTTAGTTGGTAGTTAGTGTGACAGCTTGTGACAACCGGCATATAGTGGACTCCCTCGTGTGTATATATACAATGTTGGTATCAATGAAATATTGAAGCTTCATTTCATCAAACATTTATTCCCTTCTTCCTCTCTCTTCTAATGCTCAGTTCTAGAAGCTTCACTACTCTACCATTGCAGGGATGATCGAGCTCATTCTTGTTGACATTCATAGTCAATTTTGACATGGTATCAGAGCGAGATTAATACTGCACATTGTGTTTCCCTGTGATTTTCATTCTCGATTCATCTCATTGTTCGATTCTATTCGATTTCGAGTTTTGCTCTAATTTTGGGGGTTTCATTTGCATGTCAATAAATTACTGTTAGAAATTGTGATAATTGAAATTCTTTTGCCTTTCTTCATCGATTTCATTCAATATTGGCTGTTGTTGACCAAGAGAATTTGACCGGAGTGGAGACTAGTGCTACTGTTATTGAACCAAGCATAGGCATCTATCCAAGCGATCCTCTGTATCTTCATCAGTCTGACAATCCCGAAGCTATGCTTGTTTGAACTACTTTTGATGGAATAGGGTACATGTCTTGGAGAAGGAGTGTATTGAGGGGACTATATATGAAGAACAAATTAGTATTCATAAGTGGCGAGTGCAAGAAACCGGATCCTCTGTCACCTCACTTTCGCCAATGGGAGCGATGTGATAAGATAGTGACATCTTGGATCCTAAATTCCCTTTCTAACGAAATTGCAGATAATGTAAAGTATGCAGATGATGTTGAACTTCGGAAGTAATTGGAGGATCGTTATGAACAAACTAATGGATCTAGGTTGTATCAAATTCAGAAAGAAATCAATGACCTTTCTCAAGGAACTCTTGATATTACCGCTTATTATAATAAATTGAAGAAGCTTTGAGAAGAGTTCACTACTCTGAACAAGAGGACTCAATGTAGTTGTACTTGTGATTGCAGTGCAAATGAGAGCATGTATAAGGCTGAACAAGATATGAGATTGATACAATTTCTTATGGGATTGAATGAGGTTTACATTGTAGTACGAGGGAGCATACTTATGATGAACTCATTGCCAAGTCTAGCACATGCCTTTTCGCTCCTAGTTCAGGATGTGAGAAGCAAAGAGAAACTAGTAGTTATCATTATGCGACTTCCATTTTCATCATCGGGAAATGATCTTCTTACTTGGTCCCAAGCCTCTATTGTCCATATCGTCCAAAACTATCAAATACCTCATCCTTTTCAATTCTCTATGCACTTGGTCTAATAATTCATCTTCACTCATATAGTGGTACATTGCCTCCCCACCTGGAGTACCGAGGCTTAGGACATCCAAAAGCATTTCTTTTGCATCATATGCTTGAGAAACAGTCACCCATGAAGAAATATCAAGGTGATGGTATACTGATGGATGATTAAATAAACTTCTAGCAAGAGTCGACTTACCGATACCGCCCATACCAACAATTGAAACAATATTCAGTGTTGGTGTTTGTCCAAAGAGTTGATCTCTTATGTTGTTGAAGACATCCTCCATCCCAACAAGAGTATTTTCCTCATCCAAGACACGCCCATATGAGCGGGGAGGTAAATAAGTTGTTGCTGGCACATCTTTGATATGTTTGTGGACATTCTTGAACTTCATCACATCTCTTTGTATGGAATCCATTGCTTCTATTATTTCCTGCAACTCGTCATAAAGCTTACGACATGCGTTGTTCTGGTCGTGATCAGTATCAGCCACATGGATTCTTCTTAGGCAGCAATCAATTGTATCTTCTGCTTTATATCCTGTATCTCTGATCTTCTTTTCCAAGACTTTCAATGCTTCTTGATCATTGATCCAGTTTCCCGTATCCTCGAGAAAATCTTGTAAGAAAGAAAGTGTTCCATAAAGTGAATCACTGGATCCCCTAATTTCAGATAATAAACTTGGATTGAATTGCAATACTTCTCTATAGTTGTCAAGATGGAAGTTATAACTCTTGTGGAAGCCGAATATATCGAGAGTGATTAAATCATAACTACTATATCTAAAGGTAGCTAATAAATAGTAAGTGAGACAATAATAAAAAGAACACCGAAAATTAACGAGTTCGGCAAAATTTGATTTTTGCCTAGTCCTCGGACACAATCAACTCAAACTTTATTTCACTACAAAAATACAAGTGAAATACTACAAGAGAAAAAGAAGATTAAAATGCCTTAGGAGATAAGAAGGCATGTGAGAGATGTTTTTACTAATGAACAAAACCCTTGCTATTTATAGAAGGGAAATGACCTTAATAATATCATGCATGACATCATATTAAGTGTGATCATGTAATGTAAATGCATGAAAAATACATCTACTAATTTCTTCCTAAAAGGAGGCTTCAAATGTTTGCACTAGTTCACATTAATCTTTTCTAATTCAACAAATCTCCACCTTGGCAAGATTTCACTTTTTCAATTTTCTCTCACTGATAAATTTTGATTGTGTCTTCAACTTCAATCTTCAAAGTTCAACAATGTTGATCAAGTTCAAACAACGTTGAAACTTTATCGCAATTACTTTTGTTAGCATATCGACAAGGTTGTCTATAGTCTCAATTTTCTGCACCATGACTCTACCTTCTTCTATAATATCTCGTACAAAGTGAAATCGAACATCAATGTGCTTTGTCCTTGCATGATAAAATTGGTTCTTTGCTAATTGGATAGCACTCTGACAATCATAAAATAGTGTGATGCTTTCTTGACTAATACCGAGCTCTCTAAGCAACCCTTGAAGCCAAATTGCCTCCTTTACAGCCTCCGTAATTGCTATGTACTCTGCCTCAGTAGTAGACAAAGCAACCGATGACTGCAAAGTAGACTTCCAACTAACTAGTTCATTTGCAAAAGTAAAAACACAACCAGTAGTTGATCTATGCTTGTTCAAATCACCCGCATAATCCGAGTCACAATATCCAATCAGATACTGACTATCTTCCTGCTCAAAAATCAATCCAACATCTACAATATTACGAATATATCGTAAGAACCATTTCACAACTTGACAATGCTCATTTTCTGGATCATGCATATACCTACTTACAACTCTGATAGCATGTAAAATATCAGGTCTTGTGCAAACCATTGCATACATCAAGTTACCAATGACATTTACATATGGCACTCTTGACATATAATCTCGTTCAGCTTCATTCTTCGGTGACATAGCAACACTAAGCTTAAAGTGAGGAGCAAGAGGAGTGCTAACCGACTTCGTATTCTCATTCATGCCAAATCAATCTATTACTCTCTTCAAGTATTCTTTCTGATATAGATATAGTTTCTTTGAATGTCTATCTTTTTTTTATCTCTATGCCAAGAATTTTCTTCGTCTCACCCAAGTCCTTCATATCAAACTCCTTTCTTAGTTGAATCTTCAACTTCTCAATTTCCTCTTGACTTTTGGAAGCTATCAACATATCATCAATGTATAGGAGAAGATATATAAAGGATCCATATTCAATCTTGCACAAATACATACAATGATCGTATTTGCTTCTTTTGTACTTATGCCATAACATAAACTTGTCAAATCTTTCGTACCATTGTCTAGAAGGTTGTTTCAATCCGTACAATAATTTTTCAAGTTTGCACACCATATTTTCCTTTTCAGCAACTTTGAATCCTTCTGGCTGAGTTATATAGATTTCCTCTTCCAAGTCTCTATGTAAAAATGGAGTTTTTATATCTAACTGAACTAGTTTCAAATTCAATTGTGCTACCAAAGTCAACAAAACTCTAATGGAGCAGTGTTTCATGATTGGAGAAAATACCTCATCATAATCAATTACCTCCTTTTGAGCTTATCCTTTGGCCACCAATCTTGCTTTGTAGCGAACGTCTTCTTTGTTAGGAAATTCTTCTTTCTTTGCAAATACCCATTTGCACCCAATTGCTTTCTTTCCCTTCGGGAGATTGGCCAATTTCCATGTGCGATTCCAAAGAAAGGACTGCATTACTTCATTCATGGCAATCCTCCACTTATCTTCTTTTGAACTTTGGAGTGCGTCTTTATAAGTTGTAGGAACACCATCAGCTACAATTGAGATTGCACAAGCCACTGCCTCTATGAGACGAGCAAGTTTCTTTATTGTTCTTTTTGGCTTGCTAATTGTTATTGATTCAAGTTGTTGTTGGGGTTATTGAGTTGGAATCTCCCCTTCCACTGACTCTTCTTCTAGGGGAAAATCTTCTATTGTTTGCTTGTTTTCTTCCTGTGTTGGGAAAATTAATTTTCCCTTAAACTCCACCTGCTTTGAAGCACAATCAGTTTGTTTGACATCTTCAATTGTCACCTTATCTCTTATGGAAGATTCATCATAGGTAACATCTCTGTTGAATATAAGTTTTCTTGTCTCTAGACACCATAAGAGGTATCCTTTGACTCCAAAAGCAATCCCCATAAATATAGATTTCTTTGCTCTCAGATCCAATTTTGATT